GAAGTTTTAGCAAATGAACTAAATAACTTCAGCATGCATCAACAAAAATTCTTTAGAAAATTATATACTGTAAGACAAAAACTTAAGCATGTTTAGTCTAAAGTATTAGCAAATGAACCAAAAAACTTCAGCATAATGTAGATTGCTTGATAAACCTTCAGCAAGTGTTGGTATGAATGTCACGACCCAAAATCCCAGTACAGGCGTCGTGATGGCACCTAGTCTCTAAGACTAGGTAAGCCGATTTCAATTACATTTTTTGAGCCATTTTTTTTAATTAAATAAGTAACCAAAACTAACAGCGGAACAAATATGAATGTACAACCTCCCAAGACTGGTAGTACTGAGTCACAAAATCTAACTGAATATGTGGAATGATCACGAGGACCGAATATACAATACTGTTTGATTACAAGTTAACAGTACAATGAAATGAAAAGACTCCAAGGGACTGCGACGACCAAGCAGCTCTACCTTGAATCTTTACGATCCCGCTTTAACTCTGCTCAAGTCCGTTATCTTCAATATCTGGCTCTGCAAAAAAATGTGCAGAAGCGTAGTATGAGTACGCCACGGTCGGTACCCAGTAAGTATCAAGATTAACCTCAATGGAGTAGAGACGAGGTACAGTCAAGACACTCACTAGTCTAATAACCTGTGCAATATAATATACAAAATAATAGAAAACAAATAACAATAGGGCAACATGAAACAATCAGTGATATGCACAACAGACAACAAGAATACCATTAATATCACTCAATAATTAATAAACACAATTACACCCAATTAAATCAAGTCTTTCAAATAAATGTCTTTCACATATAATTCTTCCAGATAACTCTCTTTCAAATATAATTTTTTCAAATAATTATTTTTCAAATATAATTCTTTCAATAAATCTTTTCAAATATAATTTCCTCAAATAAATATTTTTCAAATACAATTCTTTCATATAATACTTTCTAAGTAAAAATCCTTCCAAATAAATATTTTGAATATAATTCTTTCAATTAAAAAGTCACCATGTGACACCTTATTTCATAATCATAAAAATACGGGTCTCAACCCATTTTTATATTTTTCGTAAATACGGGTCTCAGCCCATTTTCATATTTCCACGGCACCACGTGCCCATAATTAAATCATCATATTTTCCCGGTATCTCGTGCCCTCATTTCATATCACATCTGCACGGACAATTCGCGTGCCAATTATCATTATTATTTCATCACAGCACCTCGTGCCCACATTTCATATCACAACTATACAGACAATTCACGTGCCAAATATTCTCATTATTTACTCACGACACCTCGTGCCCACATTTTATTTTATAATACGCCTGAAAATAGTCACATGCTCTCAATTTCAACATAAAACAGATTGTTATCAATTTACTATCAACAAGACCAATTGCACAAGACATAAAAATAAACACAAGAAAATTCACAACATCACATAAAAATCATCAACACTACAACCCCACATCATCACATATCGTCCCTGACAATAGCCACCCTTATCGCTCTTATTGCCACCATTATCGCTCCTATAGCCACCCTTATCGCTCCGCCCAGACAATATCAATAGCCACCCTTATCGCTCCTATTGCCACCCTTATCGCTCCTATAGCCACCCTTATCGCTCCGCCCAGACAATATCAATAGCCACTCTTATCGCTCATATTTTCACCCTTATCGCTCCTATAGCCACTCTTATCGCTCCGCCCAGACAATATTCCAACAAACACAACAATAGTGAAATGCCACCCTTATAACCACATAATATCAACGGTGAAATGCCACCCTTATCTCCCCAAAATAACAACTCACACAACACAATAATTTACACAAGAAATTATCACAACAACATAACAAAAATCAATTCATATCACAATTTGCCCAATAGCCACAACCAAATTCCAAAGCTACAACCAAGTCAATTAATTTCACAACAAATAGCCAAAAGCCCCACACAATGCGTACAACACCCAAAAAAATCAATAGAGATAAAAATTACTCAACATAAAGCAAAGTATTCATAAAAATCAGATTTTTAATAATTATATAAACACCTCTTCTTAAGCTCATTTAATTAATTATTTGCAGATGGGAAAATCCAAAATAAAATTAAATTTCAATAATTATCAAACCAGCAAATTCACGAAATTTCATAAATAATCAAATAACAATCACATCAAATTGTCATATAACAACAGAGTCAACAATAAGGATTTAGGCACGACAAGTAGATGATTAAATATATGCCAACAATTATCCAATTTACTATACAATATGCTCAAGACTTTAACTCAATAAAATTTGTACATATAAACCAAGTACGTACTCGTCACCTCGCGTACATGGTTTTCAATTACACAAATTGCACATAAGACTCAATGCCTAAGGAAAAATTCTCCCACTCGAGGTTAAGCAAGACACTTACCTCTTTGAAGTTATGCCGATATTCCAAAATTGCCTTCTTGCTTGAATTGACCTCTGGACCGCTCAAATCTATCCAAATTAATTGTATAACTTCATTAAAATTCATCGAAAACAATTCCGGGTAATAATACGTCGACTTAAAATTTTATTCTAAAAAGTCAACAAAAGTCAACACGGGACCCGCCTCTCGGAACCCGGCATAATTTTCATAAAATTCGAACACCCATTCCGATACGAGTTCAACTATACCAATTTTATTGAATTTCAATAACAAATCGACCTCCAAATCTTAAATTTAAACCAAGAGGGTTTTCTAAATTTTTCAACCCAATTCACTAATTTAGTGATAAAAACAACAATAGATTCATGTAATTTAACCAAAGTCAAGTTAGGAATTCTTACCCCAATGTTTTCCTTGAAAAATTCTCGAAAAATCGCCTCACCCGAGCTTCCTTGGGCCAAAAATAGAAGAATGACATGAATTTGGACTTTATTCTGCTGCCCAGGAATTTGTTCTTCGCGTCTGCGAGACTCCCCTCGCGTTCGCGATGAACAAATTCTTCAAAAGTCATTTTCAAACTCTTCTCAGTCATCCTTTAGTATAATGATCATAACCTTTTGTAAAAAATTCCAAATGATGAATGGTTTGACTTTCTGGAAACTAGACTCCAAGGGCTATAACTTTCATTTGTTGCTCATCTCCCAATTCCTTATAGATTACGAGACATAAGCTTCTAAAATCAACCTTGTGCAACAGAGATTTCCAAACTCTTCCCGTACAGCCTATAGTGTATCCACCACAACTTTTTTGTATATAACTCCAAATAACAAATGGCTTACCTCTCTAAAAACTAGACACAAAGGGCTACAACTTTCATTTTTGGATCATCTCCAAATTCCTTATAGATTGCGAGATATGAGCCTCTAAAGTCAGACGACGAACAACAAAATTTCCTTCTTCGCGAACGCGAAGAACAAAGTCCTAACAGCAAAATCCTTCTTCGCGAACGCGAGAGGCTCCCCGCGAACGCGAAGAACAACACCAGAACCAGCAACTAGTAGTATCAAAACACCCAAACTTGGTCCGGAATCACCCCGAATCAAACCCGAGGCCCCCGGGACCCCGTCCAATCATACCAACCAGTCCCAATACATAACACGAACCTGATCGAAGCCTCAAATCACATCAAACAATATCAAAGCCATGAATTATAGCCCAATTCAAGCCTAATGAACTTTAAAATTTTAAATTCTATATCTTGTGCCGAAACACATCAAATCAATCTGGAATGACTTCAAATTTTGCACACAAGTCATAATTGACATAACGAAGCTATTCCAATTTCCAGAATCGGATTTCGGCCCCGGTATCAAAAAGTCAACCCCTGGTCAAACTTTTCAAAAATTTATCTTTCGCCATTTCAAACCAAATTCCTCTCCGGACCTCCAAATAATTTTTCGGACATGCTCCTAAGTCCATAATCACCATACAGAGCTATTGACGTCATCAAAATTCCATTCCAGAGTCGTCTTCACATAGTTCCGACTACGATGCAAATCCTAAGACTTAAGCTTCCGTTTTGGGGACCAAGTGTCCCAAATCACTCCAAATCATCCGATAACTGAATTCAACCACGCACGCAAGTCAACACACATAATAAGAAGCTACTCAGGGCCTTATGCCGTCAGGCGGGGCTTAAATTCTTAAAACGACAAGTCAGGTCGTTACAATGAAGTTTTATCAAATGAACTAAATAACTTCAGCATCCACTAGAATGAAGTTTTAGCTTCAACATGAAACAACTTCACGCTACATTAGCATGAAGTTTTAGCTTTAACGTGAAACAACTTCATGCTACATTAGCATAAAGTTTTAGCTTGTATTTGATTAAAACTTCAGACTTCAACGTGAAGCAACTTTATTTTATATCTTTCATGCATTAAATTTGAAGTTTTGAAAAGTTTTTGAAGATATATAAGTAAAAACTTCAAGCTATATCCGTCAAACAACTTTATGCAAGTGTGATTAAATGAGCGTTAATTGAATTCTAATTTTGGTTCTTAAGTTTAAAACTTAAAAAGCATGACGAATTACGAAAATAATTGCAGAAACATATATCATGGAGATCAATCAGTTTCACAAACTAATTCGAATTCTGAAGATGAATTGCAATACTTACAATGTATTTTGTAATTTTGAATTTGGAATATGAATTTGGTTCAACTTTTTGGTTTTTTGATAAAGCTGATGAGAGGAGAGTAGATTTGAGGAGGGACGGAGTGATGGAGGAGAACGCGATTAATGCGTGATGTAACTTCTATATTTTTTATTAGGGGTATAATTATCATATTATTATGATTTTTTTGTTAGCTGGCTACCAAATTAATAATTTTTTAAAATAGGTTACATGTTAAAAAGTAACACAAATATATGGTACGACTGCAAATACAGATTAATGGGACACGTCTGCAATTACCGGCCCACAAGTGAAAAAAGCAAAAAGGACAGGCGGGCAATTGCCGTTTCATAACCGGGAATTCCCAGTATTTAGAATTTTGTAATCCCAAACGAAAATTTCGAGCTTCGGAAGGAGTAGTATTTTTAGCATCTTCAATTCCAAATTGCGCCCGCATTTTCCCTCTTTAACATTTCAAGTTCTAGATCTGTATCTTCAAACTTCTCTCTCTCTCTCTCTCTCTCTTACATTCAATCTTCTCCTACAGAGAAAAGAACAATCCCCAAAACCAAAAACCCCAAACTAGGGTTTTACCACTCGTTTACTGCTGCTCAGTAGTATTGTTTCTTCTATGGCGTCCGAGAAAGAAACCCTAGAAGATCAGAAACCAGAAGAGGTGACGGAGGAGAAATCTTCCTTACAAGAACAAGAAGAAGAGAAAAAGACAACCGAAGCAGGGGAGGAGGAGAAAAAAGATGAAAAGCCAGAGATTAAAGCCCATGATGAGGATGAGAAAGAAGAAGACAAAGAGGAAGTAGATGAAATGGAAGTAGACAAAAAAGAAGCGGAAGAAGACGAATCAGAGCAGGAGGAGGAAAAAAAGGAATCAGAGGAGGAGGAAAAGCAAGAGAAAACACCAGTGAAGAAGGGCAAAAAGAAAAATAGTAGCAAAAGTGAGGGAAAAAAAGGGAGTACCGAAGAGCCAGTGACACCAAGCTCAAGGCCGGCAAGGGAAAGGAAAACTGTGGAGCGCTACTCTGAGTCTTCGGGTGCTAGAGGTTCGACGCCTAAGCCATTGTCAATTAGGAAGGTATCATTCTGAATGTTCTGTTTCTAAAATTCTTGATTTTTTATTTTTCAGTTGATATCAAATTTAAGGATTTGTTTCTTGTTTATCGTCATGACTTCCTAACTAATATTCAGCAGTATCTTTTTAGATTTTAGGTTCAAACTAGAGAATAAATGGCAGTGTAAATAGTTGATTTGCAATTTCAGTTATGATGCGAATTTCCTCTTATGAATCAGTGTGTTTAAATGCAGGGTAGTGGTACTCAGCTGAAGGACATCCCAAATGGTATGATTTCACTTCTGCTCGAGCATTTTGTTTTCCCTCTTAAATGGTTAGGCTTACATTTATTAATGGTTTAATGATTGATTAATCAATTTGATTCCTTCCAGGCAAAAAAAAAAATGTTTTGATTTTTGTCATTACTCGATGAGTGTCACTGAGATTGTAATTTGACTGATATTTTGATATACTCCTTCTGTTTTATTTTATGTGATGGTATTTGAGTGGATGTGGAATTATGATTTTAATTTGGCCTTTATATTATATTAGTGATACAACAATGACAAACAAACCTAGTGTATTCCACAAATGGGGTCTGGGTAGGTTAGAGTGTATGCAAACCTTACCCCTACCTTTTAGAAGGCATATTATATTAGTGATAGTGGAAGAAAATATTGAAAATAGTGATTGATGAATTTGTTGGATGAAAACATCATTTACGTTGTTGAAACTTATGAAAGTTGTATACAAACTGGATGGTGTCAAACATCTTTGAATGTCCAAAATAGGAGCGTCATATGGAAGTACTTCTTTGCCAATTAAATTCTTGTTTCATGAGTTTGTTTTGGTAGCATCTTCTTTTTCTGTTGCAACAATTGATTCATTCTCAACACTGCTGGAGTCTGGAGACCAACATATTTTTGTCAACGTGCAGAACAACCAATTTTGCTAGACTCGTAGTGCTCTAATTCTTTTTACCCGGATAAGTTTCTATCTTTTGAAGTGATAATTTTATTTTATTTTGATAACCGTGATGTCCGGGCCAGCTTGCGCGCACCTTGACTAATTCCACGTGATACCTGCCACCTCCCACCAGCATCATGTACCACGTAACTCTATCCACCAAGGCTTGGATAGATGGGAAGAAATCACCTAGTATTTGCCTCCGCTGGGATTTGAACCTAAAACCTCATGGTTCTCACCCACTTCGCTTTTGAAGTGATAAAATTGATTCTGTGGATTTTGATTTTGTACACATTTGGTGTACTTTGCAGTGGGCTTCTTACATAGATCTTGGTATAATGGACAAATAGCGCGGAAGTAGGTATATACACAATCTTTAATTTGACACATTTAATTTGATTCACAGGGACCACGAAGAACCGAGTTCAAGTAAAGCAGTGTTTACTTGCATAAATAAAAATGTAAATCTTTACAAAAGGTTTCTATTTGTTTATCTGTTGACTCAGATACTGCATACTATCTAGTTATGAGTCCAATGTTATGATTTACGTAATGTCTTAATTATAGCTGCGTGATATTGAAGCTTGATTTTCTATCCCTGACATCTTCTGTATTTTGAAATTTTACAGTGGCTTATAAACTATCCAAGAGAAAACCTGATGACAACCTGCAGATACTACACAATATTCTTTATGGCAAGAAAACAAAGGTCATTATCATCTTCTTAATTATGAACTCCAGAACTTTACAACTAGATTTGCTCTCTCTCTCTCTCTCTCTCTCTCTCTCTCTCTCTCTCTCTCTCTCTCTCTCTCGGTTTGACATCTTCAACTGTGTGATNCTTCACTTGTTTTGTTGTAAGGCTTTGATGATGTCTTTGGCATTTTACCTCTGCAGGCACATAGTTTGAAGAAAAATATAGGGCAGTTTTCAGGATTTGTTTGGGTTGAGGATGAGGTACTTTTGCATCTATCTCTTTTCTATCTTGTGATTGAATTTTCCTTTTGCTTTCTTTATATATTTACATGTGAAATGTGCGTAATCAAGTGATTACCTCAAGTTACTAAATGATCCCTTAATTGAATGTGTGATCAGATTATCTTTTGCCTACTTTATTTTATCAAGCAGGAAAAACAAAGGGGGAAAGTCAAAGAGAGGCTGGACAAGTGTGTTAAGGAGAAGCTACTGGATTTTTGCGATGTCCTCAATATTCCAGTGATTAAATCTGCTGCAAAGAAGGCATGTATTGCAAATGAGTCTTTGTCAACCGTGTGATCCACTGCAGCAAATTTTATTACCTAGTTTTTTCCCGATCAGTCATTTTACTTGTATCAATTTTCAGGATGAGCTCTCAGTGAAATTATTAGAATTCCTGGAATCTCCTCATCCTACAACAGATTCCTTGCTTGCTGATAAGCAACAGGTATGCTGAATCTTCTCTCTCTCTCTCTCTCTCTCTCTCTCTCTCTCTCTCTCTCTCTCTCTCTCTCTCTCTCTCTCTCTCTCTCTCTCTCTAATATTTGTGAAGTTGTAACTTTTGTGTTCTTTTTAATGTTAGAAGGGTAAGAAGCAAAAGGGGAAGGGCACAGCTGCCAAAAGCACAGGTTCCTCAGATAAAACTACTGGGAAATCAGTAAAGGTTCTCTCTCAATCTCGTCCTTCTCTTCTCAAGGCATTCATTCCAACTGGCACATTCAGCTAATGGCAATGTTTAAAAGTAGCTAGAACTTTCTGTAGCTGATAGCTGCAATTAAGTTCTCTGAGCTTCAAACAACTGACAATCTAAATGAACCTAAGAGCTTAAGAGAGGAGATGGAAATGAAGTAAGATATTTGTTAAGGGTCATGCTAACTAGTGCCACTATGGCGTTGGTTAAGAAACACTAATTATCTTGTAATTTGCACTGTGGATTTATTGCATATTAGAATTAACAAGTGCCAGCCTCAAGCAAGTCTTTGACTACGCTAGCATGTGCTTCCTCTCTTTCCTTTTTCCAGTTCTGTGTTGTCTCCTGTCTCCAGTTTAAACTCTTCGCTACTACTAGAGAGATCATTTAACTTGTCAAGCTGCATGTAGTATCAATCTCTTTTTGTTGCCTTTCTTCTTTTGTAGCATGACTAGTTAAGCTAGGTTATGGTCTGGTCTTCACCATTTGTTGACACGAGCTATCAGTCAGTTTGAGTACGCTGAAATATTATTAGTGGCATTTGGTTGGAGGAATGAAAATTATTTTGCAGGCATTGTTTGCGTACACGGTTTTGAAAAAAGGGGATTTTTTTTCCGGTGTTTGAAAAGTTTCAACTTCTTTGGAAAATTGAAAAACTAAGTGGGCGTATGGACATAAGAATTGTAAAATTCCAAAATAGGGGGAAAAAAATTTCAAGTGAAAATGGTATTTGAAATTTAGAGTTGTGTTTGGACATGAATATAATTTTGGGTTGTTTATGAAGTTTGTGAGTGAAAATTTTGAAAAACATTTTTTTGGAGTTTTTCAAATTTTCGAAAATTTTCAAAATGCATCTTTAAGTGAAAATTGAAAATTTTATGAACAAATACTGATTTCGAAAAAAGTGATTTTGTTTTGGAAAATAGGGAAATTTTTTTAATGTCCAAACGGGCTCTAAAGAAAATTGAAGGTCAAAGCAGAGCCCACCAAAGAAGTTTCAACTCTTTGGAAAGTTGAAGAAAAGTTTCAACTTCTTTGGAAAATTGAAAAAAGCTTGTTGCGGTTTTCCAATCAAAACCAACAAAGTTACCTGCTACTAGCATGTTTTAAACTTTTAATGCTTATGTTGGTACACATGCTTCACAATTGGAACTATATCTTTTAGTAGCAACAAACCCCTCACATAGTAGAAATGTGAAATGGAAAACATGTAATAAAAGGAAGTGAGATGAAAGAACACACCATGATGCCTAAGGGTGGCAAGTGGGCCGGTCCCAAATTAAACGGGCCAAACGGTCCTTGGCCAAACAGTTTTTTGTAGGGACCGGCCCGGAACCGGGACCGTTTGGTCCCGGGCTAAATGGGCTATATGGGCCCAACAGATTTTTTTAAAAAAAATTAAATAGAAATTAGAGACAAAAGGATGTTAAAATTATATATAGTTCTATAAGATGTAGTGCTATATTAATACTTAAGTTGTAGCAACAACAACATATGTATACATATGCTATATTAATGTATACATATTAATGCTAAATTATATCATGTTTGCTGGTTGGTGGACAGAAGACATTTATCGAATAATTAACACTGATCTTGAGAATCTTATCGAGCAATCAAGAAAATTCTTGTGCTTTGCAAATTATTTTATAATAATGTTTAGAGCCCTGTGAGACGTACATAAAGCAAACCAAAGTTAACTGAAAAATTAATTAAATAAGTTAACAACTTGATTATTACTATATTCTTAATCAATATCTCAAATCTTATTCTTCACTTACTGTCCAAATACATGTAATTAACACATGCCAAGGATGAGAAACAATTAGACAGCAATTAAGTAAAGTAACCTTTTTTAACTTACTTTTCCCTTATTTTTACTATTTTTTAACATCTTATTCTTTTTAGAAAATCTCTACTTCTTTGGATGCTTTTAAGAAAAGATATGAAATGATTCACTTAAATTCAGTTAGCCTGCAACCATTTCCAAGTTTAGTACTCCTATTTAAATCACCTTTTGATATTGTATTTAAGAAGAGTTTGAATTCGAAAAATGCCATTACATGAAATATTTACAGTCAGAAAGTTAAAGATAATACTTAAGTTGTAGCAACAACAACATATGTATACATATTAATGCTATATTAACATATGCTATATTAATATATGCTATATTCATATGTTGTTGCTAAAACTTAAATATTAATATATATAGTACTACATCTAATAGAACAATTTTTTTTCTTTTCTTTTTTTTTAAAAAGTTGACCGTTGGAACCGTTTGGCCCGCGAAGGGACCTGTCCGGTCCCGTGCAGGCCAAAGCATAGGACTGCCCAAGAGACTGGTCCAGGCCCACTAAAACCGGTCCTAACGGTCCTTGCCCGCGGTCCCGGGCCGGTCCTGGGCCTAGACCGGCCCACTTGCCAGCGTTAATGATGCCTATAGCTTGAATCCACCTGTTGAAACTTGAAAGTCTGCTTTATGGACTGGTTGTTGGTTACTGGATATGTGAGCGACTAGTGTTTTTGTTTGCACAAGTAAATAGGTTGGGCAACTTAAGAATAACTATTTTTTTGGATGAAGACAATAAAATGATGGTACAGAAATAATCTCTATAGTGTACATTAAGTCAATTAATCAGTTTTAACTCTTTGCCTTTACACTCTACTCAAGGAGAATCTGTTCAAACTTTTGTGACAAATAAAAAAGTTATAGTGTATCAGAATAAAAAAGTTATAGTGGTTATTATCATCATGATTTTGGTGAGTACTAGCAAAATATGTAAATTATTCAACTGAAGCAACTAAGTTATCCATACATTTGTAACTTAGACTTGAACTACATTTCGAAGAGAAATTTAGGCACTGCTTTATATTTTCTGTTGGATTCAGTCGTTGGCAGGGGATGCATGTTATTATGCCTTTGGCTTTGTCAATATTTCTAAACACTTTATGTGACAGTTATACACCAACATCTATGGGTTTTGACAGCTCATATTGGCAAATTTTGATGTTTCTGTTGTCAAGGGATGTTTTGCTGTTACTTTTTCCATGAATGTCTGCCATAGTCCTCTGACTGCTGAAAGGTTGTCTGACTTCTTTGTCATGTCCAAAGCAGAAGGATCAGAAATCTGACATTGGGGTGAAGCGCAAGCGGTCATCAAAAATTGAAGAAGAAGAAGAAGCTGATGATGAACCATCAGATACTAGAGATGTCTCTGAGAATGATGATGAAGCTGCTAAAGAAGGAAGTGATCAGGAAGAGACTACTTCCGAGAAAGATGAGGAACAAGAGGAAGTGGAAGAGAAAACCAAAGACAAGTCTCATGAGAAGGTTTATTCAAAGAAGAGTTCAAAGAAGGATTCTGGGAGTAAAGCTGTAGAGAAGTCTAAGGATATGGAAAAGGGCAGCCCTGCTAAGTCTTTGAAAAGCTCATCAAAATCTACCAAAGAGACTTCTGGTTCAGCTTCCAAGAAAGGTGCTTCTGCTGCGGATTCAGTATCTAAACCCAAGAAACAAAAAGTTGAAAAGAAAAGTAAAAAAGAAGAAACTGAATCTGCGAAGGAAAAATCTTCGGGCAAGAGACAATCAAGCAAGTCTATTGCAAAGGTTTCTGAAAAGGAAGGTACAACTTGTTTTTTTTTTTCCAGTTAATACTAGTATAATATACGTGCTTCCATTCTTCTCTATGATGAAAAACTAAAGAGCTTCAGGTTTAGTTTTTTGAGATATTGTTGTTAAGAGCGATGTTTCAGGATACACTGTGCCTTATCCTTTTCTCAAAATGAGTATTCTGATAGTTTTATGTATCTTCCACATTTGTGACTGTATCCTTATTCTAGGATTTACAGATCATTACACCAAACAGTCTCTCTTGTTAGTTTTGTGTATCTTCCACATTTGTGACTGTTGAACCTTTTGGAATAGGAAAAGGGAAAAGTGTAAAGAAGGCCAAAGCAGAGCCCACCAAAGAAGAATTGCATGCAGTAGTAGCAAATATTCTTAAAGAAGTTGATTTTAACACTGTAAGCCGTACTTCTTTTACTACTTATCAAACAAAAAAGTTTTAAGTAGTGCTTGAGCTTCATACTGATCATGTTCTTGCACTACTTGAATGCAGGCAACTTTATCTGATATTATCAGGAAACTAGGTGCGTTTTTTCAAATTCTCATTCTACCTGCTATTCAAGATTCTGTTGTACTGATCTCTCATTTTTTAACCTTGTTTACTGGGGCTTTATTTCAGGTAGCCACTTTGATGTGGATTTGATGCACAGAAAAGCAGAGGTGAAGGCAGTAATCACTGAAGTAATAAATAGCATGAGTGATGAGGAAGAAGAGGAGGATGAAGCTGAAGGTGGTGATGATGCAGAAAAACATGAAGGAGGTGATGGTAGTGATGCTTGATTTGTCAAGTAGAAAGATTTGCTACCCATACGAGCTTTGTTAATTGTTCTGATTTGCATGTTGTCCTCTGTATAGACATGTAAGCGAGAGAATTTATACTGTTAGTTAGAGGATATACAAATGGTGGCCTCACTAGGATAGTGTGTAAGATAGGCATTTCTGTGTTAGCTAATCTGTAGATGTAACTGTTAGGATTTCCTTATCCCATCTCTTGCTGATAATCAGGGTTTGAGCTTGTACTTTTTAATTTTTTTTAGAACTATTGCAGATTGCCAGAAGTTAGATATGGTGAATGACTATAATAATCTGTATCATGTGTACTGCTGAATAAAAGATCAAAAAAACTGAGGGTTTACGTAATAATTGCTATTACTGTCTTTTTTACGTTGAGATTGTTTGGTCATTGATTTGTGTTTAAACAACATTGTACTTGTATTCAGAAACTAGAGGTGGGAAAATAGGTCTAGCAGGCTCATTTTGAAGCCGAACTTGGCAGATGTTTAAGAATCTGATTTTGTTAATCACGTCTATTTTTGGCTTTGGCAGGTCCACCAAATTTTGGAAATTATAAAATTTACCACCTAAGGATTTTGTTGTTGTTGTTTGACTATCCCAAAGTAGATGGAATTGTTTAACTCCATAACAACACTGTTAACAACCTGCACAATTAGGCAGAACAAACTGGAGTTAGCATTTGATTTGACTACAAATAAACTAACTACTATGATAATATTAATTGCAGAAACTATTTGGCATGCAATTGACATCTCTTAATAGAGCAATTGTCTAGCGGTTTTAGTCCTTCTCTGTGGTGTTCTAATGATTGCCATGTTCAAAATTCACTTGGAGCAAATTAAAAGTGCGCTTGTTCTTGAGTTGTTTAAACTTGTAATAATCCTGAATGTACAAAACTGAAGTTTTTACCTCATTTGTCCCAAATTAAGTGCTTTACATGCTATTATCATGTTTTGTAATGTATTCTTGAAAATTATGTCTATACATATTTAGTTTCGGAAAATAAACTGATAATCTTCCTGGTTGATTTCAAAAGCTTATACAAATACTTGCTTCATAAGAACTGCAGATATAATTCTTCATTCAATTGTTTAGAGAATTGTCAAAGTAATGACTGACAATTTGGCAATTGCCTTCAAGCTATTGCTTAATTTTTTTCCTGCAACTATAGCAAAGGATTTTAGCAATCTTTTCTTTTTTCAACAAAAAAGTCCACAATCATTTTTTCGTGTATAGGAGTTAAACCATTTTTTAATTTCCTAACCTATTCTGCTGATTAATAAAGTAATTCATCTTTATCCGTGGGCCTCAGAACTCATATAGAGAATGAGAAACTCCAAGCAATTTGCAGGCAGCGCCCACACAGAGAAATCGATGAATATAGCCTTGAATAGAAGAATATGATCTAACAAAAATCTTTTGTATTTTAAATTTAGATCTCTTATGTGTGAAAAAACAAAAAAAAATAAAAAAAACAAAAATTTTAAACGTCCACACAAGACTCGACGTGAGATCCATGATAATATAAAACTCTTAACAATAAGCAAAGAGTCCAACTTGGTTACATGGAAACCATAAAATAAGTCAAAAGATCAAGGTCCCATTTCCCTTGAATTACGTAATGTGAAGATTACTATGCTGATTACCCATTTTAGTACTCAACTCTTAAACCTTCTATTGCAAGAAAAAAGTAGTAACTTCCAGTCCATGTTACCTCTGGCATTACACCATGATTTACACCAACTATATTTTCATGGAGGATTTAATCAAAATCTACCTCTTGAGCCGAGGGTCTATCGGAAACAGTCTCTCAGCCTTCACAGGGTAGGGATAGGCAGGGGCGGCTCTAAGGCTTTGGGTAGTGAGGCCATTGCCTTAGGCCCGCAAATTTTGAAGGCCCCCAAATTTATTTTAAATTCTTATTATTATTGTTACTATTATATATTATATAATTTATATAAATAATTAGAATAAAAAAAGTGTTACAAAGTATATTTTTTATTACTTGATTGAGGCTATTTTATACAATAAATTTATAAATTATGATAATTTTCTTCCCTCATTAATTAGTATATTTGACAAGAGTGGGTTGCTCTAAGTGGTGAGCACCCTCCACTTCCAATCAAAAGGTTGTGAGTTCGAGTTACCCCAAGAGCAAGGTGGGGAGTTCTTGGAGGGAGGGAGCCGAGGATCTATCGGAAACAGGCTCTCTACTCCAGGGTAGGGGTAAGGTCTGCGTACAAACTACCCTCCCCAGATCCCAATAGTGGGATTAAGGGCCTCCGAATATGGTTTCGCCTTAGGCCCCGAGATCTGTTGAACCGCCCCTGGGGGTAGGTTTGCGTACACACTACCCTCCCCAAATTCACGTTGTGGGATTACACAGGGTTTGTTATTGTTGTCGTCGTCTTTTTCTAGATGAGAACATAATATTAAGAAAGAGGATTTAAAATGACAGAAGCTGCTATATCTGAAAATATGACCTATTGCTGCATAAAATATTAGACCAATTCAAGTCATCAGCAGAATTTGGAGGCCAACTCTACCAAACTCTACCAGTGTTTCCTTCAGTCCTTACGCCAGATATTGTAAATTGGTAACATTTGGTTTTGGGGCCAGTAGCCTACCACACCCACATGACAATAGCAAAATCTTTCTTAGAACTTATTTTTCAAAGCAAAACACTTCAAAAATAAAATTAGAACTTCATTTTTTGGGGGGCTTAGTCTTCTCTTCCACCATTAAGACAGCTTATGAATAGCTCTAAATATAAAAACAGCACCTGCAGTCTTTTTCAGTAGTACATCTTTGTTAACCAATTCTCAACAAATAGCCAATTATTCTACTCATGCATTTGCTATATAAATATTTCCAGTACTCATTTATCTCCACACCAACAAGTATACCATTCTAAGCCTCAAAATTAGAACATTAATTACACATTTCTGTCTTATAGGTAATTTTCACTTTTTTTGTACTCTTATTTTCTACTAGTTATTTCATGCCATGCCACTTAAATCCCTTAACGTTCTTTTCTTTCCTTTTTTATACAGGATTTTTGAACTTGCAAAATGGAGAATGGTAAAAACAATGTTGCTTTTGAGCTCATTGTGAAGCAAGGAGAACCAACTTTGGTTTCTCCAGCAGAAGAAACAGACAAAGGACTATATTACCTATCCAATCTTGATCAGAACATAGCCGTCCCCGTTCGAACAATTTACTGCTTCAAATCAGAGGAAAAGAGGAATGAGAATGCTGTTGAAGTAATCAAGGAAGCTTTATCAAAGGTTCTTGTTCACTATTATCCACTCGCTGGGAGATTGACAATAAGCCAAGAAGGGAAACTTATAGTGAACTGCAGTGGAGAAGGGGCAGTTTATGTTGAGGCAGAAGCAAATTGTAGCATAGAAGACATTGGTGATATTACTAAGCCTGATCCTGTTACACTTGGCAAGCTTGTTTACGATATTCCTGGTGCTAAAAACATACTAGAAATGCCTCCCCTGATTGCTCAGGTACTATATATGTTTCTTTTGTTTATTTGGAGAATTTTGTTTAAAAAATGCAAAGATGCTACATCTTGGATTTAAACCTGCACTCTAAATCAACTTTATGAGCTACATTTGTCGCTACACTAGAAGCTTCTCTTATGTCAAGGGATACAACAATCAATACACACACACACACACACACACACACAATTTGCATAGTATCATTTTCCGACGAAGGGGATTCAATTGAACCCCCTACAGACCATGTAACTTTTCCCTTGGCATAGTCACTTGTGCAATTCTGGTATATGCACTTGTGTCCATCACACAATCGCCTGACCAAATCTAGGATAAAATTTCTCAAAAAGTTATCAAAACTTCATTTTGAGGACCACTTATTACATAAAGGTTATTCACTAGGATCTTTAATAAGTATTGGATTCAGAACTAAAAAGCATCAAGGATGCTAGAGAACAGAAGAAGAAAGACCAATTCATAGATACTAATAGTATGTTTGTTTCTCCAGAGATACTGAGTGATAATTTTGTCTATTCAGGTGACAGGGTTCAAATGTGGGGGATTTGTGCTTGGTTTGTGCATGAACCATTGCATGTTTGATGGGATTGGAGCAATGGAATTTGTGAATTCTTGGGGTGAAACTGCCAGAGGTGTACCAATCAAAGTCCCTCCATTCCTAGAGAGGAGCATACTCAAGGCTAGAAATCCACCAAAATTTGAATATGCTCACAACGAGTTTGCTGAAATTGAAGATATATCAGACTCTACTAAGCTGTACCAAGAAGAAATGCTATACAAGTCCTTCTGTTTTGACCCTGAGAAGCTAGAGCAACTAAAAGCAAAAGCTAAAGAAGATGGAAATATTACCAAGTGCACTACATTTGAAGCTCTTTCAGCTTTCGTTTGGAAAGCGCGAACTCAGGCATTGCAAATGAAGCCTGATCAAAAGACAAAACTTCTCTTTGCAGTAGATGGAAGATCCAGATTTGATCCCTCAATTCCAGAAGGATATTTTGGAAACGGGATCGTGTTAACTAATGCACTCTGTAATGCTGCAGAGATAGTTGAGAATCCACTTTCTGTTGCTGTGAAGTTGGTTCAAGAAGCTGTTAAAATGGTGACAGACAGTTACATGAGGTCTGCTATAGACTATTTTGAAGCAACAAGAGTTAGGCCATCTTTAACTGCTACTCTTCTCATTACTACTTGGTCTAGGCTTTCTTTCCACACTACAGATTTTGGGTGGGGAGAGCCAGTTGTATCAGGGCCTGTGGCTTTGCCCGAGAAGGAAGTTTCTCTGTTTCTTTCCCATGGGAAAGAGAGGAGAAACATCAATGTGCTTCTTGGATTGCCAGCTTCAGCTATGAAGACATTTGAAGAACTCATGGAGATCTAAACAGCCATATAGCAGCTTTCATTTGCCATGAAATTTGATATATTTAATGTTGAGTTATTGAGTAATTGGTTATGTTTTACTTTGTGCTATTATTATTTCATTGATCCCCAGAAGAAATTCAGAGCCTGCTGATATATACTGTTACTAAAGTGGAGGAATGTAGACAGGATCTTATATGTATTTCAGAAAGAAAAATGGGGAGATGTGCTATGACACTTGTATTGTTATTTCTTTTTGGCATCAATTGATGCTCTTTTGCTTGTTTCTAAATATCCTTTTAATCTCCATTCCGTTGAGATCAATAGTGGTTCTCTACCAAACCACCTAACTGACAAAAGGAAAAGGAAGTATATTAATTAGAGGAAATTCAAGGTAATACTCATCCTGAAAGGTCCATACTTTGAGGTCACAGTTCCAGTAGGTTGTATGATATGATCATGATTCATAGAACAACATTTCATGACAATGATCAAGAAAGGCTTAAAATCTTCTTACTCGTTAGAAAATCCAAGATTGATCTTTGATTTCATTTTGTCTTTCTCTCGACAGTTCTAAAACCCATAAAAGGAATGAAAGCAAGCAAAAGTCAAAACGTCTAACAGAACCATAGTAGTAAAAAATCAGAATCCAGAAAAACTAACAGAATCAGAGGTAAAGGCAATCAAGAACTCAGTTTGAACACACTAAGGGCAACCTCCCAAGGATGAACACCTCCTTTATAAGCTGAAAGTTACATACTTTAAATTCCTCATTCCATTTGACAATCCCATCTTCCTTTATAAAATTCTTCTTGTCATTCCTCTTTGTGAGGGCTCAAAGTCAAACAACTACCCTTTGAGCCCTACCACTCGATTTCGACTATCGATCTTTCAAAATCTTAGACACCCACATGCTTCTCTGACAAAAAGCTGAAACCTTTGAGACAATTAACAATGATTTTAGCCTCAAATTTCTTGGATGATAGTGATGGCTTTTACCTTGGATGTGGATAAAGCTCATTAAAAGTTTAAAACTATGTCAAAGAAACTGTCCAATCTCCTCTCTACTCGATAGAAGCCCCTTGGCTGCTTCCTGAAAGTGCTCAAAACCTAGCAGAATGGCTTGGATGAATGATAAGATAATTCCATTAGTTTAAGATATGTTTATATCATAGTTCCCAAATCATGCAACTCTCCTTCAAGATTTGACGACCTGGAGAACACCAAAAAACCAAATGATTAAAAAAAAAAATAACATCTGCCTAAAAAACTGTTGGTTAGAAATAAATACACATTTTAAAGATGCTGATTTTTGTTTCTTAATATTTACCTCTTTGTGAAATGAACACTTGATCCAGTGGAATTCATAAAGAACATGCTTGTTCACTTTTCAAGCTGAAAGGGATGAAGGCCTTGTCTTAGTGCTAAAACCAAGCGACATGCTTCTAGTTTAATCAAGCCCTCCTCTGTTCTCTTTCTCTTAAATAAATCTCACGTGTGTGCATACTAGCATAAGATGTTTTTTTAATTCAAAGAGACTGGCGGTATCTGTGATCTTCCCTTTTCCTTTCCCTCTTAGTCAACATGACAAGCTGGAAGTTACCCGTAGATAGTTCTTTTACCATTATGCAGGCTGTAATAAATACGATGCTTCTGGAGATGTGCTGGCAAGAGGAAGGCAAGAATACCAATGTAAAACATTGCACCTCCCGGCGAAAATTCACTATGTTGTGTTCCAAAGCCAAAAGTTCTTTTATGAAGGACATAAATCACCTCTTTGGATAGTACTGCTGAATCTTTCTAACCACCATGTCCATGTTAAGATCAAAATGGATTCACTATGTCTTCTCTAATATTTTCCTTGAAAGTCTTTGGAAGAAATTTCAATTGAGCCAAAAATGACAGAAAAACATTCTGATTAAGAAACAAATACCAATCAGTGATTTGTTCTTTTTACACAAATGAAATAATATCTCACGTTGTCCGTTTACGGCATTTAACATATTGCTTTCGAAGTTGCAATAATTAGTAATATTATGATGTTTCTTTTCCTAAATCATCAGTAACATCATCACCACTGTCTTCTTCATCTGTGTACTTAGAGTCACTGCTGCAATCATCATCGTAGTCCACACTTTCTTCTCTCTCCTCATCTTCGCTAACTGTCTCTTGAACTGTTGAATGATCTCCTTCATTCTCGACGTTGTCTCTTCTCACAGCAGCTATTTCATCATCGTCTCCCCGCCTTCTATAATTAACTAATTCTTTATCCATATTGGCTTTCCTTGGACTCATCAAAACCAACTCAGCCAGCCTTCTCCTAGCTAAATACAGATCATTTGGCTCAATCAACTCTCCCTTCCTATAAGCCTCCCTGAGAAACACCGTATGCAATTTCCCCTGATTTCCCCTTGTCGAGATATAAAATATTCCCTGATGCTGAAGGAGAAAGTCCTTCAGCTTCTTTGGCAAATCCATCGCCAACCTAAAATGCGCGATTCTCTCCAAAGTAATCTTCTTTTCAACCGTCAATGACAGCAACTCATGGATAGTGGCCACTGCTCTCTTCTCCATCCTCTTCTGTGCCTCGAGCGACCTCAAATCATAACCCGAGATATCCTCATAAGGCGACCAATAAGGCAGCCTTTGCCATTTCCAAACAGCAATCTTATAATACTTCCCAATCTTGAAACCTGGTGGGAAATTCACCCTAAAATAAAACCTCACATTTTCTTCTTCACCACCCTTTTCTCTATACTCTTTCTCCCTAACTCTCTCCACGGCACAAACAGCTAACATCGGGTCTTTCTCTACAACCTCAATGTACTTGTTCCTAGTCTCTTTAGCATCAAACAATCTAAAATACATAGGATACTTCAAAACAACAGAAAACTCAAAATCATCAGGTAAACCAAATTCTTTCCTTGCAATCCTAACATGTTCTAGCCTTAATCTCCCCGTATTAGAAAGCATTAGAAGCTTTCTTAAACGGGTTACAGCTTCAGGTAATTGAGCTAAAAGAGCTAATTTTTCTTGCTCAATTTGAAGCAGTGCTTTATGGGTGAGCCTGCAATAAAGTATTCTCTGAACTGGGTGTTCGAAAACCTCAAAAACATGAGGGAATTTGAGAATAAACTTGCCTGCTTCGTATTGTTTGAACCCGAAACGGCGAGCGAGCATGTCAAGGCGAGAAATAGGGATCATTGAATTTGTCTGAGTGAGGAGCTGTTCTTGGAATTTCATGACTTTGCGGATTTTTTTTTCAATTTCCATGTAATCGTCGTAGCCGTGGTCGCGAACGCGCTGTTGGTTTCTGGGTATGGAAGTTGACTGCGACATTTGTTTAGTGGATTGTAAGAAAAGTGGTGGGATCCATGTGAGGGAATTGAAGGGTTTGGATTTGGATTGTAAGAGCTTTGTAGAAATTTTAAGGAAAATGTGCATTTTGATAAAGTTTTTGAATTTAGGGTTTAGGGGTTTTACAGGGAAGATTTGCAGCAGGAACAAGAGCGGGAGTTCTTTTTCCTTATGTAGGGTGCAATGTGGATTGATCGAAAACATATAGGGTAATTTTAGTAATTATAGAAATATTTCTGGAGGAAATTGCAATTTTTCACGGTCAAACTGTAACAAGTTTAACTAGGAATAATTGATTACAATACTATTTTGTATCTTTAACTTTGCTGGAAAAGATTGGAATACTTTACGTTCTGGATATAAATTGTGTTAGTGTATCTAACGTGAACTATATGCCGCGGCGGAAGTAGAATTTTTATTAAAGAAATTCAAAAAATAAAAAAAGTAAATGCACAAAAAATTTAAAGTAATTTAATATTTAATATATATATAAGATTTAACATCATATATACGGTGTAAATTTCGAGCGAAGGGATTAAACTAAACCCCTTTCTCCATTCTAATAGAATAAACGTGTAAGATCATGCCACGATTTCGAATTCTACTTCAAGATATTAAATTGAAGAGCTACTCTTTTTATTTAATTGTGAATAGAAATGGCTATGGATGAAGTAAACGAAGGTAGTTTGGTAGCAAAACGTGTGTTCGATAATATTTGGTTTGATGATAACGAAAAGGGCAATGAATTACAACTTTTTCGCCTATTAATTATTGGATGAGAGCGGCTAGAGTCGTTTTCAAAATAATATATTTTTTAAAGAAAATTTCTCAATAGAGACACGTGGCGTATGGTTCAACTTCAACACATATTTTTTTATTATTATATTTTCACATTGTCATATTTTTACTAAGAAACAAAAAGCAACTCATGAACCTATGTCTTGCTTGTATTTCTCTTTAAATTTTGTTAATTATGTTATAAAATAACGACAATAAAGTAAAGACAAGTATAGAGAAACTGATATATTGTTTAATTTTTAAACTTATATTCATAATGAACTGAAAACTTCTCTATTTATAGAAGAAATGAAGCAGATGTGAGGCTTTTCAGGAAGCAGCTGCAAGGCTTTTCTTTAGCTGCTTGTAAGATGTCTACATGAGCTGCTTGCAACCTGCCTGTTTAATAAGAAGCTGTTGTAAATCATTTCATTGAGTTGCTTGCAACCTGCCTGCATCAGCTGCTTGTAGATAAACTTCAACACAGTACTAAATGGATAATTTTCTTCAGGAAGATTATCTATAGCGGAGTAATGAATGGACATTCACAATATAATATTTTCATAACACTCCTCCTTAGATGTTCATTAAAAGATAATGTGCCTCGTTAAAACCTTATTAGGAAAAATCAAGTGGGAAACATCCTAGTGAAGGAAAACGAGAACACATATTTAGTAATACACATTTTTAGATGCCTCATTAAAAACCTTACAGGAAAAATCCTATGGAAAAAAGCTTAGTAAGGAAAAAAGAGTACGACGCGTATTTCACTCCCCCTGATGAAAACCTTGTTTCAAATATTTGAGTCTCCGCATTCCAATCTTGTATAACATCTTCTCAAAAGTTGGAGTTGGTAAAGATTTAGTGAACAAATCTGATGGATTGTCACTTGAACGGATTTGTTGCACATCGATGTCACCATTTTTCTGAAGAACATGTGTGTAGAATAATTTTGGTGAAATGTTCTTCGTTCTATCTCCTTTTATAAATCCTTCCTCTAATTGGGCTATGCATGAAACATCGTCTTCGTATAAAATTGTGGATCCTTTATCACATTCCAAACCACATTTTTATTGAATAAAATGAATCACTGATCTCAGCTATACGCATTCCCTACTTGCTTCATGAATAGTTATTATCTCATCATGATTTGAAAAAGTAGCAATAATTGATTGCTTTGTAGAGTGCCATGATATGACAGTACCTCCACATGTAAACACGTACCTAATTTGAGATTGAGATTTATGGGATGAGATAAATAAGTTGCATCTGCATAACCAATAAGATCTGCACTACCTTTGTTAATATAAAACAAACTCATATCAAGAGTTCCCTTTAAATATCGCAAAATATGCTTAATCCCATTCCAATGTCTCAGTGTAAGAGAAGAGCTATATCTTTCTAGTAAATTAGCAGATAATGTGATGCCAGGCCTTGTAGCATTAGCAAGATACATAGGTGCACCAATTGCACTGAGATAGGGTGTTCCAGGACCAAGGAGTTCCTCATCCTCTTCTGGAGGTCGGAACGAGTCCTTATTTACTTCAAGTGATCGAGCAACCATTGGTGTACTCAATGGGTGCACTTTGTCCATGTAACAGCGTTTTAAGACCCTTTCTGTATAAGCAGATTGATGCATAAAGATCTCGTCTGCTAAATGTTCAATTTGCAGTCCAAGACAAAATTTTGTCTTTCCAGGATCTTTCATCTCAAATTATTTGTTAAGATATTCAATTGCCTTTTGGAGCTCTTCTAGAGTTCCAACAAGACAAGACTTATGTCATCAACATAAACAACAAGTATAACAAATTCTAGTGCCATTTTCTTTATAAAAATACATGGACAAATAACATCATTTATGTAATCCTCTTTCAATAAATATTCACCAAGGCGATTATACCACATGCACCCAAATTGCTTTAAACCGTACAAAGATCTTTGTAATCTGATTGAATACATTTTTCGAGATTTTGAATTTGCTTCAGGCATTTTAAATCCTTCAGGTATTTTCATGTAAATCTCATTATTAAGTAACCCGTACAGATAAGTTGTATCCATCATATATATTTCAAGCCTTTCACATAAAGCTAAACTGATGAGATATCGAAATATTATGGCATCCATAACGGGTGAATATGTTTCTTCATAATAGACTTCACATTGTTGTGAGAATCCTTGTGCGACAAGGTGAGCCTTGTATCTTTCAACTTCATTTTTGTCATTTCTTTTTCGCATAAAAATTCATTTATGACTAACTGATTTTATACCAGCATGTGTTTGGACTACTGGTCCAAAGATCTCTCTTTTAGCAAGTGCGTTCAATTCTGATTGAATTGCCCATTGCCGTTTTGGCCAATCAGATCTTTGTCGACATTATTCGGCAGATCGGGGTTCAAAATACTCACTATCTTCCATAATGTTAAGTGTAATATTATAAGCAAAAATATTATCCACCACTATTTCAGATCGATTTAAATTAATCCCATCACCAATAGAACTTATTAAAAGATCTTCGCTCACTTGAGTCTCGGGTTCAGTGATTTCTTCGGGAATCCCAGAACTAATCAGATTTTGGGTCTCTTCAGGAAATCCTTTTATAGTATCGTTTTGATCATTTGTCGATTTTCTTTTTCGAGAATTTCGATCCTTAAAACCCAAAGACCTACCACGCTTCAGGCGTGCTTTAGGTTCACTAGTTCTCATGCTAGTAAATGGTCCTACTAGGACATCAATTCGTATAGGTACATTCTCTGCAGGGATATGTGACTTAGTTATCCTTTTCAAATCAGTAAACGCGTATGACATTTGATTTGTTATATTTTATAAACGGATGATCTTCTGGACCTCCTGATTACATATAAGGGTACGTGGATCAAAATGAGATAATGATGAAACTTTCCACGTAATTTCTCTTTTGATTTTCTTTTTCTCTCCCCCTAATTATGGGAAATTTGTTTCATCAAACCGACAATCTGCAAATCGAGCAGTAAATAAATCTCCCGTCAATGATTCAAGATAGTGAATAATAGAGGTTTTTCAAACCCAACATATATTCATAACCTTCTTTACGGGCCCATCTTACTGTGATGTGGTGGTGTTACTAGCACATTTACAGCACATTCAAAAATTCGTAGATGAGCAATATTTGATTCATGACCAAAAACTAATTGTGACGAAGAATATTTATTATAATGTGTCAGTTTGAGACGGATAAGCGATGTTGCATGCAAGATAGCATGGCCCCAAACATTAGTGGGCAATTTTGTTTTCATAAGTATTGGTCTTGCTATCAATTACAGACGTTTAATAAATGACTCTACAAGGCCATTTTGAGTATGAACATAAGCTACAGGATATTTAACTTTTATCTCAACTGATAGACAATAATCATCAAAAGCTTGATATGAGAATTCTCCAGCATTATCAAGGCGAATAGCCTTTATAGGATAATCTGGGAATTATGCCCTTAATCGAATTATTTGGGCTAATAGCTTTGCAAATGCCAGGTTGCGAGATGATAGTAGGCACACATGAGACCAGCATCTATTAGGACCATAAAATATCTAAAAAACCCACTTGGTGGGTGAATAGGTCCACATATATCCCCATGTATACATTCTAAAAAGGCAGGGGATTCAATGCCAACCTTCATTGGTGATGGTATAGTAATCATTTTGCCTTGATAACAAGTATCACAAGAAAAATTATTATTTGTAAGAATCTTCAGGTTCTTTAATGGATGCCCAATCGAATTTTCAGTAATTCGTCTCATCATTATTGATCCAGGATGGCCCAAACAGCCATGCCAAAGCACAAAAATATTTGAATCAGTAAACTTCTAGTTTACGATAGAGCGTGCTTCAACTGTACTAATCTTTGAATAGTATAAGCCAGAAGATAAAGTTGGTAACTTTTGTACAATACACTTCTGGCCCTAAACATTATTTGTAATACAAAGATATTTCATATTCATTTCATCTATTGTCTCAACATGATACCCATTTTGGCGGATATATATAAAACTCAACAAGTTTCTTCGGAACTTGGAGGAGAATAATGCATTGTCTATTATAAGTTTTGTTCCCTTAAACAGAAATATAGTAGCTCTTTCGGAGCCTTCAATCAAACTTATATTAACAGAAATTATAGAAACATTTGCCTTTTCCCCATGCAAATAAGAAAAGTATTTCTGATCTTTGAATATGGCATGAGTTGTTCCACTATCAATTACACAAATATCTTCATGATTGGTCTTTGATCCAAACATAAGTTGAGGATTATCCATATTCTTCAAAATGACATAAACAAAATAAATATGATAGTAAATATCATTAGCAAAGCATAACTTTTATTTATGTACAATAATTATATAACTATACTTTCTACTACAAACAAC